GCATTATTAGTGGTATTTCTTTTAAACTTTGTATCTATGGTCAGTACATCGGAGAGTATTTCATGAGTGATGCAGATGTAAACATTACCGGATTACCAAAAATGTCTGATAAGGTTCATCGCATTGTGGTCTAAGTTAAAAGGAAGCAGCATTACTGCATTTATGAGGAAGGACGACTTCCTAGTTTCACATAAACAAAGAGTAATGAATGTATTCAGTGCCTAGCTGGAAGAAAAGTGATTTGTTATTATCTCTGAGGGGAAGTAATTCCGTTTCTATGGTGTGAATTGTGTTTTCCATGACCTGAAGCCATTTGTCTTGTTACATGCTAATGATCGTAGGATACAGAGAATTATATGAAAGAAACGGAAAAGTTTAGATCATCAAGAAGAACTAAGGGATTTAGCAAACATCTGTGATACTTGGAAGATGCCAAGTTGATTGAGATTCGTATAAACTACTGAGGTAAAAGTAAATACTTATTAAGTAGGACAGAGCTACATGCCGTACAAACGAATAGTAGTGAATAACAACTGAAACTTCCAAACAAGTTGACAACTTTGAATACTACCTGCTGAATGTAAGATGACACTTAGGTACGTGAAGCTCTTAGTAATTTTGACACCTTACGCTTTGTAGATTTCCCTACTTTGCTTGTGGTGTATAAACTCGGGCATAGTACAAAAGCGATTATGTCCTATTATTTGGAAAAACGTTTGTTCGTAAACTACCCACTAGACTACATTTGACGATGACTATGTCAGTTGACTGGGACTTATCAGGCTGAAGGAGTCTAGTCGTATGTCTGAGTATACTTCAGGTTCAGATAAGTATTAGTGAATTTATCTAAGCTACCAGGATAGAAGACATGATTTAATACATTTGACTTATCGCGAAGTAACTTCCTAAGTAGAAGTGACGTCACAGTCCAAACTCGCTTATCATATAGCAACAGTCTTTTATGAACCTTTTAAAAGCAAATTTAGGCTAAGGAAGGATGATATGTTCAATATCGACCAAACCATGTTGTCTTGATTAGATGTTCAAACGAAGATATTTTCCTACCTCCTCGAAGTGTTGGATGGTGAATGTAAGTCTTCTGAGTCAGTGTATGTTCAGCTCTAATTATAGTCAGTTGGCAGTTGTTACTAGGCCCGAGACAAGTTTGTTACAATGAAGAGAATAATAAGAGAAAATTGTAGTGCTAATAAGATTTTAGAACTAGGTAAAAAATGGACAATTTAGTTTATCGATTTGTAGTACACATTGTGTAAACGTCTCGATTTACTCCTGCTGAGTATAATCCACAAAAGGCAATAAATAGTTAGCACATCCTGAAATATAAAATGCTAGTTTAATAATTCTTTATGATTCTATCCGTCTTTTTCTTCTCACTGAACAACTGGATAGCCGCGGTCAGTTGATTTCAAGTAACCAGATAATGGTTTGATTTCACTCTCCTATACCTTATTGAAAATCCAGGTCCAAATGAATTCACTGTGTTTGTTTCTCATTTTTACCTAATTTCTAGCTTTTGTGCAGTTTTCATTTGGGAGTAGTCTATTCAATCGGCTTGACTAATCTTAGTGACTTCAGCCGTTATTTGTGTAACTTGGAGTTTGGATTCAGACGCTTGTTGCAGGTCAGTAGGGTTTCTGAAAGTCAACACCTGAAACACTGCCATATAACAGACTAGTTTTCTGCAGCAGGAAAATTTAGAAAAGAAAAAATCTAGATACAGAAGGGCAAAATCAACATGATTATCAGAAGTTGATCATTAATTAAGCAAACAAACGGAATGACTGAGGCGCATGAATAAATGGCTAGCTAAGGTGCAAGGAAAATGATTGGCAGAATCATGCACTCTACGTGTGGCTTAAACATAAGGGGAGAGGTATGAATCGAGTGCAGTTTGCCCGAGTGGGAGATGGTTATTGAACCGCCTTTTGAAGCTAGTCATTCACAGGGCTGTATTCACTTCTATCTTGAGAGTCTTACACACAGGAGGAACTTCTAACGCTAAAAATCGTAGTATGATTCAGGTATTTACTCTTCAATGTTCAATTTTTAGGGGGGTTTTCTCTCAGATTAGCGTTAGTGTGGTTCTGATAGCAAGTTTGTGTTAGGGTAACTAGCTCCAATTATTCGATTATATTCTTTTACTAATCCACTCCCTATTCTCCTATTAACGACCCTGGTACTGTAAGTCTATCTTTGCAAGATCTTCACTTCAGCCCTATCATCAGCTTTTTATGGCAGCCCTGTTCTGAGTTCATTAGATTTACATCTATTGGGGTTTGAAGTAGTTTTGACAACAGCTTAGGGTTGATAACAGCCAGCCGCTTTCCTATGAAATTATTATTATCATTTTCTCAGCCTGAATTTTCCGTGTTTCCTGCTTGAGTCCAGCACCTTATGGTTAATGGTCCTAGATCTTGCTACCTGAAGACAGTTGAGAGATGATTACCATGAAGGATTTAATTTCTGTAACCCGTGCGGCTGAATGGAACTCTGACAGGTAAATTTTAAACTTACTTTCCGGTTTCTGATTGCCCATCACTTTCAGGTTCTATTGAATCCTTCGCCGATTCATTTCGCTTTTCACAGATTCCCGTGGCTTGAAATTATAAGCATTTACTGGATTCAGTGTGACTGTCTAGTCTAGTCTAGTCTATCAATCAACATCGGCTGAACAAGAGTACAGAAAGCTAAGGCACAGAAGCGAAAACGAAGTGAAGCATCAGAAACGATAAAACTGAATATGTAGAAGATCTAGCAACAACGGCTGAGAAAGCTGCAAGAAAAGGCAATATGATACAACTGTACGACACAACTTAAAAACACGTCCCAAAATATCATAAACCAGAACGACCAGTGAATAACAAGATAGAAAGATCAATCGCCGACATTCGAGAACAGTGAAACAGTAGGGCGGAGTACTTTGTAGAACTCTTGAATTGATCAACACCACTGAACCGAGCCAACATCGAAGCATCACCTACAGACTTCCCAACAATTGAAGAGATCATCATGACCATCAGAAAAATCAAGAACGGCAAAGCAGCAGAACCTGACAACATTCCAGCTGAGGCGTCGAAGTCAGACATAACAGTAAATGCGAAATTGTTCCATGCTCTGTTCAGTAAGATTTGGGATGAATGACAAGCACCGACAGACTGTGAAGAAGGATACCTCACCAAGCTGCCAGTGAAAAGAGATCTCAGCCAATATGAGAACTGCAGAGGCAAAGCTCTGCCATTAGTATCAGGAAAAGTCCACCACTGAGGATTGTTAAACAGATTGAAGGGTTCAGTATACCCTGAACTTCGAGATCAGCAGGCTGGATTCCATAAGGACAGGTCATGTACTGACCGATGTTGATTGCTGCCTCCGTGTTCTTCTTTTCTTGAATCTTATCCAGAGTATGAACACAGATTCATTCCTTATGACATGCTAAATCTATTGCTTCTTTGTTCTGTTTCTAGTTGCTCTCCACGGTAGTTTCTTATCCATTTAGTAGATGGTGATATGCTTGGAAATCACTTCCGAGGGTTATCTTGAATTCATTGAGTTTGCTAGTATCTCGACGAAAGGCCATTTCAAACTCATGTGATGCTGCTTGACTAGTTTTCCAGTGCATCTCTAGCTTCAGCTTCATTTCGGTCACCAGCAGGAGATGATCGGAAACTATGTCAGTTCCTTTCTTGGTTCTTAAGTCCTTCGTTTTCCTTCTTGACTGTTGATAGATACAGATGTGATCGATCTTGTTCTGTGCAGAGTGGTCCCGTTAAATCCAATTGTGTGCATGCATATGCATGAGGATATTGTACCTCCTACATCCATTGTGGGGACATAAGCTTGCGAATCTCTCACTGTCTTCGTTTCATTCGCCCAATTCATGTTGCATTCTTATCCATGGTAGTCTATTCCAACCTTGGCGTTTGGGTTTCCTATCAGAACGGTCTAATCGTTTGCTGGACATTTCACTAAGAACAACTGTAGCCACCAACAAAATTGATCTCCGTGGTTATCGTTGGTGTGTGCATCAAAGTGAAAGACATTCATTATATTACTGTCTTTCCTTGTCTCAAAGGATGCTTTGATGATGCTTTGTTCATGAGATTTCCACGTGTACATTTTGTGCAGCTTTGAACGCATTGAAAGCACCACCAAATTGTATCGTTTCGTTTCCGTAGCAACTCAACTGGTTTTACCGCTCTCCCACATTGTGCGAATATTTCATGTACCCATCTTGGTTGTTGTTCTGATTGTCAAAAGAAGTACCGGACTTTTGAGTTCCGAAGAAACTTGGCTTCTTTTACAAGGTATCCTAAATCTTCTCAATGAGGATCTTCCAACTTTCAGATCACATTCTAAACTATATTTCTGGTTGGCGCTTTTCGGTAAGCTATTTTCTACCGAATGGGGCTACTGATCTCATAACCAAATCCGGGCTTGGGACTGAGAATCAATTAGTTCATCGTATCTCTTACGAAAATCTTAGTCTAACAGTGAAGAAATTAGTATATATGAAGCATCGTTTTATTCCACAGGCTTGCAAACAAAAATGATGCTTCTCCTAGGGACCTGCCTCACATTTCGTCCACTATGGTTTTCTCTCTAGGCTAGTATGTAATTCATACATTGGATACAGTGGCATCATTTTATGAAATAAAAGTTTCAATTCACATAGACAGCTTCTAGAGGATATCAATCGTCCGTTAAGTCATTTCGCCAAATGTATGACTAGTTTACCTATGCTAGCAAGAAATAGCAACTGGAAATCAACTGTATTTGTGCAGTACCTTTAACGTATACCCAAAGGCAGAGACAATATCATAGCCTCAATGAATGTAGCTTACATACTCTTTCATAAAACTTGCTTATCTCATTTTTTCGAACAACGATTACAGCATTTAATTTTTTACTGATCGTTGGTTCTACATAGTTGAGTCTGTTCACGATACTTTGAAACACGTCTGAAATTGGATATCGTACGTTTTAGTTCTTGTTACGGTTATGTGCGCTACTTCGTCCTTGCCGTCAATGGACTCTGTAAATAAAGAAAACAATACCAAATCCAAAGCTCAGCTTAAAGCTGAAAGGAGAGCTATTCAAGTAAGGCCCTAATAGCTTTAATTATAATACAAGGAAGCTCAAAGAGCTGCGAAAGCTGCTGCCAAAAGTTATGAGAAGCCGAAAACCACGCAAACAAATGCCGTTCACAATAGTGCAACTAGTCAGATGAAAAGTATTGGTGTCTGGTTTTGAATATTCTTACTACAGATACCTCAAATACTAATCTAAATCAGGATACAGGTAAATATGAACAAAAACCTGCTCCTTGTAAGGTTGGTGAACCACACACAGATGTGATTCAAAGTAAGATCATTCGAATTTTGTTAACTTATTTACGTAGGTCAAACTGGCCGCCTCGATTACTCAAATCATAAAATTGCCGAACTTCCCGTATCTAGAACTCAAGAGTCGTGTCGCGTTCATCTCTTCAAGCATCTTAACCAACCAGACAAACGAGTTAATGTTATCGGTCATCTTGGGTATGTAGGTTTTGTAATGTACTTGTCTTTAAAGCCACACAACGTGAAGTTTTGTAAATCACGAACGTTAGGTCTAAGCCATACCTAATTGTTGTTTATTTAAATATAAGCACCTGTACAAAATGGCAATAAAATATTTATGCACCGCGCAAATCGTTGGATTTGTTTTAAGTCTTGGATACCAACCAGATTCCCAAGTCAAAAAAGATGAATCTATTTAAGGTACACTTTACGAGTCTCTAAAGTATATACCTAACACACGATCCAGTTCAGCAGCTTTGGGAAATGTATTCCAACGGTTGCCGGTCACTAAGACTAGGTTCATATGCTGTCCGTTTCCTCGGGATCTTGGACCCCATGTACACTTTTGGTCCGGAATCAGGGTTTCTCTGCTCCTCTAAGTAAATCCCCATACCTACCAACCAATTTATGCTCCAGTCATGGGCTTATAGTTTCCTCAATTTCATAGACAACACTACTACCACGGTAGGACAGTGAGTAGAAATTTCCCGGTAGTGGTTATATAAACTTAGCCATATGGAGAGGAAGCACACCTCAATCTCTGCCGCGTCGGGGCATTTAAAGTCTTTGGATGGTGTCCTTAAATCGATGAGTTGTAGCCGTTGGTTTCATTTTATCCACACTGTAGGTACTCGACTTGGATTCATTCGTATGTATCTCTTCTGATCACAGCAACCAGTTTACGTGAAAGTTCTACTTGTAAATAAACTCTTTAAAAATGTTTTGTTCGATTTATGATAAAGCGGAAATATTCAAAAGGATGAGCATTAATAAAAAGAGTCATTAAAAGGGAATAATAACATTGTTTAATGAAATACGTTTGATTTGCCCTTTCTCTGTGATTAAGTTTATAACCTTTAAGTTTCCGATCATATAAAATTGTATGACAACATTTTTATTTTATTTTTATAAAGTTGATACATCTGAATAATGTTCACGGATTTTTACTGGTGAGACTAAGCTTTCTTTTTCTCATATGTTGTTATTCGCTTGAGCTAAAGTGTTTCTATTACGCTTTGCCCACTCACTCTTGACATTGCTATCTTTATTTACTCAGTTTAGGGACTCATTCTTCAATCCATCCTTCGTTCCTCGCTCTTGGCGTTGATTTTGACGAAGGTCGAATATGGGACCCAAATGAGAAGTGTTTAGCGTTTTTGTCGTCGTGTGAAGAACTCGTACGTTCTTTCATTCCAAAGTCATCTACTGAAAGAAAAAACAACCACGCTGGAGCGAATGATACACTATTTTGCCGGAGCTTCGGACCAGTTTTGCAAACTCATGTAAACTTTCTTCAACTCTGTCGTTCACTATCTGTTACGATATATAATGCATACCAGTATCTAAAGCAAACTCTTACTCGCCTAGATTCTGTGGAAGATTGGAATGAAGTATGAAATTTTATAATTTTTGTTATTTTGTTGTTTGTTTTAGTGTTCGGAAGTTTGCTTCCCGTTATTAACATTGGTAATTTATCACTTTCCTCCATGATTACGACTGAAAAACATACATAACCTGAAATTGTTTGACCATGCATGTTTTCGAAGCATCTCTCATATATAGTAGAACCATCGACTTAGTAGTCCTAAGGCTTAAAGCAGGATACTTTGTGAAAATGCAGATCCACTTTTCAGGATATAGACTTACGCTAACGGACACTGTTGACGAACCACTGCTTACCCCGTCCTTAAGTTTTGATTCAAAATAATTTATGGACAAAAATCCGAGACTTGACATCAATTTATGAGTATACTGACAGATAGTTTAAGCTATTTCACCTTCTGGCTGAGACTTAGTCAGTCAGCTACAACGTAGATTTTCGTACGTATGTACGTACATCAGTTCAAGTTGCCATATCAACATTAGCATTGAGACACACTTCTCAATTCAAATCCCATAATGATAGAGGTAGTACAAGTATCAGCAGTAATGAGAACGATTAGGGACGTCTGAGTGTGTGTCTATGTTCTAAGACTTGATGAAGTGTGAATATGTGGTCTATACATCCACGTCCAGGTCGGAAACCACACTGCTTTTCACGAGCTCTAGTTAGGTGTCTAAGTATTTTCGAGGCTAACATTTCGGACACTATATTAGTTAAACTGATCCCTCTGTGGTTGTTATGAGAGGACTTTATTCCCTTTTTTAGACTGAGTCAATCAGTGATTGAGACCAGTTAGATGGGATTACGTCCAGTTCCTGGACTCTACTTAATATCTCAGTTAATCTAACTGCTAAAACTGGACCACCATCCTTAAAAATCTCACTGGTAAGCCTTCCAGGGTTTGCTCTTTTCCCTCGCTTTAGACGTCCCATAGCCTTTTCAACTTCATGAGGACTCGGAGGACTTACATCGATTTGCCATTCAGGTTGACTGGAGATCGTGGGCAACCGAAGTGTGGCTAAGGGCAAGCAAGATCGATCCCTGAGGTGTTCTGCACATCGATCCAATCTCCTCGGTTGAGAATGAATGGTACGACCACCCTTTTCTGAGATAGTTTCATTAACAGATGGATTTATATTACCAGTCTCCTTAATAAGGCTGAACAATTTTCTACCGTTACCTATCGCCACTGCCTTTTCTATCGCTCTTGCTTTCTCTGCCCACCACTGTTCGCGATCATTGCATAGGCTTTTTATCAGCCTGCGCTTAAGCTGACTCCGCTCTTCTTCATGTTCAAAGCTAAACGGGATGCGTTCCCGAGCATCCATCATTTCGGTGGAAATCCACCGCTTCAATCCAACCCTATGGTTTACCTTACTAGCAGTTATCACTGCTGTTTCCAAAGCTTCTTAAATATCATTCCAAGCTGTCTTGGGATGGGCATCACTTTATACATGGCTGCCTAATTGTTTTTCTAATTGTTCCTGAAATATATTCTTAGCTATTATTAAGTAGGACCCTAAGAGGTTTCTCTGCGGTGTCTTTCCTACGTTCAGTAAGCCTCAAAAAAATACGCGCTCGCGCTAGAGCTTGGCCTGAATCTAAACATGTGCCCCAGAACGAGCGACAGTGCTCTAGCGAACCGGCTATTGGCGATGTGATCTAGTCGGGTCAAACGTTTGGACGAATTTGGGGGTCGCGATGTCAAGACATGTTTTTCCTTATGTTTAGAGGTAGTACTTGCAAGAAATAGGTACTTATCTGAGGATAGTCGCAGTAGATAATCGGTATTATCTGTCCTGTGAGCCGCGACACCATAAGATCTACCTAGGTGTGTTTCCTTTTCGTTTGGTCTATCTACTTGAGCTTTAAAGTTACCAGCCACTATTACTACATCAGAGCGCCTAACGTTTTGAAGAAGGTTAGAAAGTTTTCCTTAAAATTCATCTTTTACCTCATCTAAGCTGCAGTCAGTGGGAGGGTAGGCAAAGACGACGAAGAGGCAACTGCGAGTGCCCCTATCTTTCTGAGTCCTTACTGTCCCTTTTAGTCAGACAGTGTACTGGGGGTCCAGTTTAAGAGAGCTAGTTCTGTCCTAGGACTCAATGCTATACCTACACCAAGGAGGCCACAGGAACCAGCATCAGGGCTTCCAGATACACGGAGTGTAAATTGCGATGGTTCTTTATTTGGACGAAGTAAAGTCAAGTTAATAATTCTACTCGCATCCTGTGTGTGCGTTTCATAGATGCAGCATACATCGATAGTGCGAGATTCTAAAGTCTTAGCCAAGGGAGCTTGTCCTATTCGGTATAAGGTTCAAATAGAATGGGGATTCTGGAGACCAGGAATAATGTTTTGCGTATTCAAATTGTTTGGATTATTCGTGCGAGATGATAGACGAACGTTAGAAGGTTTGGTGATGGAGATAGGAGGGTTATTAGAATGTATAGGCGGATTTGATTCTGACTAGTTTGGTCTCGTGTGCTGTTACCGATATGAAGGTACGTTTCACTTCCCGGCTGTTCACACGGTGGAAGGGTATTTCATGAGGATCCTGAAAAAGAAGTTGGATTAGTGTTGGTCTTAGAGACTTGGTAGCTTGACCCCAGAGCACAAGGGACAACTACTTGAGGCCGGCCTTTTTATGGGATGTTTTGGAAGTGTTAGTGCCGCTCTTCAAAAGGCTTTACCACCGAAGACGAAAACCCGTGTGGTAAGATGAGGTGTGTCATTTTTAGGGTCGACGTTTTCTAACCCCTTCCTTCCGTTGAGAGAAGGCAGCACCACTGTAAATGCTGATTGTCCGATAGAAACACCTTACTGCTGTCACACCTCTCTACAACCAACAGTTCGAGTTCGCCCTCAGACCTTGAGTTGCTGCTTTTAGTCTCATCGTTCTCCAATCAACCTGCCAGGCATGGTAAGGCCTACAGGAACATATTTTCCAGCCAATATAGCTCAGTTAGGCCATTACGATAGGCAAATCCAGACCAATACGTCAAGATAGCAACTACGGTCGGGTCTGGCTGAGACTGATGCAGCAGTTACATTCAACAGTGAAAGACATTTAGTTATCTAGCCCGAAATCAGTTGCTCCCGGGGTTTCGAGTTAATTATTATCTCTAATTTTTCAACCTTTAATATCATATATTCGTTTTGAGCTATGTTCCAAGTGTTTAGATTTCGGTTGCTTTCTATATTATCTCCTTATCTTGTTACTTCCTTCTCACTACGCTTTTAGGTCCACCAACTTAAATTCTGTTTACTTGTACCAAGTTTCACATTCTTAATGACTGACTATAAATGTGACAAACTGATGAGTTTGAATAACACTAAAAATCTTTTGTTATTGTAATGTTAAAAGGTATACCTAGCAACTAAATTATACTTCTGGTAGACGGTTACGTCTGGCAGTATTTTCTATCACAGAAATTATGGTAAACTATCATCAGAAGTAGCTAAATTGTGTTTTCGGCAGGGTTATCACTATTTCGTCAGTGTATCACTAAAAAAACATATATCTAACAGAAATTAGTTCTCCGCTTCAGTAGTTTTATCATACGGTATCTTTGCACTTATTAAAGAAAAGAGCATTTTGCAAAGAAGTCCTCACTGTTTTTCTTTTATTCTGGTTAACTAAAATCACTAATGATCTCAACCTTACAGTACTAGATTGAAATGATAAATCATTATTCAATGCATAGTATATAAGCCCGTTCTTGGCAAGTAAGTTATGTGCTTGTAAAAATTATTTTGAAACTCATTTTTAATATCACCAAATGACTTTTTAAATTCATGTTATTACATTCTATCATCAACTTTAATCTATTTTTATATATTCAGTGTCGAAGCAGTTTCTTATCAGCCATTGTCGAATTTAGACGTAGTTCAATTTATTTGGCAGGAGATGAGATTGTAGATCGTACAGTTAATTTAATTCGTCCTGGTGAATGTGTCTGTACATTCGGATATTCATCCTTAGTAGCTCGTGTGCTAGAACGAGCATGGAAATCTCCATGCAACACATCTGTCAATCAAGTTGATTCAAATGCTGATTTCATAGCAAACAAAATGCAAACATGCTTTGTAAACACTAAATCAGATCCATTAAATAAAAATACGAATAGAGTGTTTAGTGTTTTAGTTGTTGACTCTCGACCAAAATTTGAAGGCAGACGAATGCTGACCAGGTTATGGAAAGCAGGAATACCATGTGAATATACACATATCGGTGCGTTACCAAGTATTGCAAATAAGGTATGAATAAGTTGATTTTTTGATTCTGTTGTGTAAGAATATTTTACTAACCCTAATAATTTTCACTACCGTATAAATAACGTGTATCCGTGTAATAAATAAGTTATAACATCCGAAATTATAAAGCTTTCACACTAGATACAAGCTCGTTGCCTATTTTGAATAAATACATGAGTCGAAAGTTAATGGTTTTCAGTCCACTCACGTCTTCTTATTCGTCCCATAAACTTTATCACAAATGGTTGTTTAATGCAGTCATGTGGTTTGGCTATCACCAAAGTGAGTACTCAAAAGGTAGATATTATTACCTTCAGTTTAATCGAGTAGGAACTAAATATGATAGAATATTACTCCTTAGATTTGTTTCCAGTGTTTGGGCATAAACTAAGAATCCAAATAATTGCCACAATACCACATTTCTCGAAGTTCGTTTCTCTCAAATAAGTCGTCACCACTAAACAACAAACTATCAATCAAGATTATTTTTCATAATAGGAATACTAGGAAAATATTTTCATTTCGGATAAACGTTAGTATTATCTCATTAAAAGAAACATTAAAATCACGTATCTTTTTTTCAGTGAGCCAATGACTTCTGGTTAATTGCTTTCTTCAGGAAGGAATGTTTTCCTAGATATTAAAACTCATTGTAGAAGTCTACTTTTGTCAGTATGTCACTATAATATTTAGTTAATAATATTACTGGATTCTTAGCTTCTACGCTTTTAACAGGGTATTTTTAAACAGAATGAAGGACTTCGTAGACGCCAAACTTCAAGATCGACAGGCTGGATTTCCTAATGATCGACCGTGTACCGACCAAATTGCAACATTACCTATCATTGTGGAACAATCAACTGAATGGGACTCACCACTCTACGTTAGCTTCCTTAATTACAAGAAAGCATTTGATAGTGTGGACAGGACAACACTATGGAGGTTTCTTCAACACCACGGCGTCCCTGTGAAGATAGTCAACATCATACGGAATTCTTATGAGGGATTAAACTGCTAAATCATGCGTGGAGGACTGCTGGAAGACTCTTTTGAGGTGAAGACCGGTGTCAGGCAAGGTTGCCTACTCTCACCCTTTCTCTTTCTCCTGGAGATCAACTGGACTATGAAGACATCAACATCTGGAGGGAAGCACGCTTTACAGTGGACAGCTGGGATGTAGCTGGACGATCTGGACTTCGCACATGATCCGGCTGTTCTATCTCACACGCAAAACAAATGTAAGAGCAGACTACTAGCAGCAGCAACAGGTCTCAACATACATAAAGCAAAAAGCAAGATTCTACGATAGAACACAACATGCGCTAGCCAAATCAGATGCCTTGGAGGACGTTAACACCTTTACGTATCTGGGCAGCATCATCGACAATGAAGGTGGATCTGATACAAATGTGAAAGCGCGAATCGGCAAAGCAAGGGCTGCATTTCTACAACTGAATGACATCTGGAACTCTAAACAACTGTCAACCAACACCGAACTCAGAATTTTCGATACGAATGGTAAGACAGTTCTACTGTGTGGGGCGGAAACGTGGAAACGTACCAAAGCCATCATCCAGAAGATAAGTATTTATTAACAGTCTTCAACGCAAAATACTTCGAATCCGTCGGCCATACACCATCAGCATCAACCTATTGTGGGAGAGAACAAACCAGATTCTAGCGGCGGAGGAAGTCCGGAAGAAGCACTGGAAGTGGGTAGGACACATTGAGAAAGGCATCTAATTGAGTTACATGACAAGCCCTCACTTGGAACCCTCAAGGTCAAAGGACAAGAGGAAGTCCAAGGAACACATTACGCTGAGAAATGAAGACAGGTATGAGAAGAATGAAATAAAATTGGACAGAACTGGGAAGGAAACCCATGACAGAGTAGGCTGAAGGATGCTGGTCGGTGGCCTATGCTCCATTGGGGGTAACAGGCGTAAGTAGACTTCTACTCCGTTGTTTACTGCGCAACTCATCGTAATATTATGACAACCAAAGGCGAATCTATAAGCTGTTTGTCTGCATGATCAGACAAAAAGTTAAATATCACTAGGGTTTGAAAATTGACAATAAACCAACTAGTCACGACAGAGAATAACGACTCTAAACCTGACACGGACGCACCAGCCTAGGTTGTTGCGCACTAAAGAGTAAAATCATGCTTTTGACAGTGTGGAAAATTCCACCAATCCTGGGCGAATTAGATCAGAATGAAGTGTGGTAAAGTACTATTACAGACTCACAAATATAAATGATAATAACACGGTATTACATATCCCAGTAACCTCTGTCAACATGGGTTCAAAACCCCAATGACTGATTCACCACCTTCAATCAAGGTTTTGCTTAGTCCCTTTTGACTTTTATTCGTTAGCAAGGTAACATTCACTTCTAAACTAAGTCCTAATGACTTTTCATTTAATTTGTTTTGAATTGTAGATATCTTTAGTTATTCTGGGTGCTCATGCTCTTCTTAGCAATGGATATGTGTTGGGTCGTATGGGGACCGCTCAAGTGGCCAACATTGCAGCCTCTATTTCTCATGCTCCAACAATAGTTTGTGCTGAAACTTGCAAGTTTTGGGAACGTGCCCATTCTGACGCATTCGAATATAACGAACTTGGAGATCCTGATGACATTTGGCGAGGTCCACGAGGCACATCACCAGATTATAAAAAGGGCATTCCTGGTTTCGGTCCAACTGGACTTCCGGATAGGATCGAATCAGCTACCACTGATTTGAGTGAATGGCGTTCAAATTCTAGCCTTAGATTGTTACATTTAGAATATGATGTGCTACCGCCTACACTTGTTAAGGCTGTAGTAACAGAAAAAGGTACCTTGCCTACTACGTCTGTCCCTGTAGTCCTGCGAGTAAAACAAGCTTCTGTGACTAATGTATAATTTTTTTATTTTTGTATTTTGCAAAAGTCTAGTTATTTGTTGTTATGACTTGGTATTATAGGTGTATCGGAATACAATAAACGCACAACATTAGCTCTTATATATTATACATTTCACTAGTTCGTTACAATTAGACCAGCGATTTAACTTGATTATCTTGACCAAACCTAATGAATCTTTAAGGTTTAAGCAAAATATCTGTTCATTAAATTAATTCCTTTTATGCTTTGCATGACGAAAGAGAGAGTTTAACAGACAAATTTTTGTCATTCCATTAATTGGAAGATTGAAACACTTAAATCAAGATAGTAAATTTTAAGCTGGTAGTTAAGCTATCCTGACAAGATAATTTATACCCTACACTTGCTCTTAAACTTTCTACTGCCTTAGACAGGTTCGTTAAAGAACAGAAATTGAAAATTTCAGACTAAATACAAAATCATGCCGTTGAGGATACCTGACTGTAGAGGTATTAATCTTTTTCAACAAGCAATGAAGATTTTCAGCAATACTGTTAGTTAGTGGCAACGTTTGGTCATTTCACCTGTCGAATGTGCCTGAATTTGCCAATAGACATTGATATCTGCGAAAATAAGTCATGGCGTTTGGTTGATGTTCCATCCAAGAGAATATGAATGTGGAGTTCACTTTGTGTGATAAAGTATCCTTTGCTCTTAGGATAATTTATTTTTTAGCTGACATTCTCTTTGTTGTTTGTTAACAAAAATTCGATCAAATGGAAGCGACAATCGAAACGAAGAAGCTACTTATAATCACTGAAGACCGAGGTGAACAGGACAAGATGGGAGTCGTATGTGGAGAAAGTTGAATACTTCACTTTTACCTAAAGTTTGTGCTTATGATGTTGTTCAGAAAAACAATGAATGCTGCATGATAAAACCATCCAGCTGACAGAACGAAATCCCACCCGTAGTGTACTATAAAGATTAGTGCTATTTGGAATACCCTTGTAAGAACATTAGGCAGCTATTTCATCCTAGTGTGAAGTTCAGCATCAATTTTAGGCTGTTACTCTGGTCAGTTAAAATTATGAAACTTACCGGCTTCATAGAGAACGCTTAACAAACATCACCACTGGGTCTACGTTCAATGGTACAATTCTAACCATGATTACTTCGTGAAACAGCATGACAATCATATAATAATGTTGATGATGATGACTGTTTCATTCTCAACATGTGTCTAGACTGTACCAGTCATAATTATTTACTATGGACTTCAGGAAATGAGCCACTTTTGAGTTGACTATTCTAGTTTATTTGAAGAGGTGTAGTAAAGATTGGTTATTTTTCAGAAGTAATATTTGTCAAACATTCATAATTGTTTTCAATTTGAGACAGAAAACACGTGCATTTTTTTCATTCTTTTATATAGTTCTAGTTGTAAGAGAATAGGGATTCAACATGAATACCAAAATATACTCCCATAAGAAATTTTAGGATACCAACAGAAACTTGTCTGTTGAGTCGATCAATTTTAGGTACTGAGGTAATACATACCATTAAATCTTTATGTAGAAATTTCTTTTTGCTTAAACGATCAGTCTCCTTGTAAAAAGAATAGAACTTTACAGAAAATTAGACCAGTTCAACGAAATAATCGGTCATAGAAACTAAACTGATAAAAATCCGATTGAGGTAAGGAAAAATGACTGGTCAAGCGATGGTAAATATCACAGTATTATCGATATCCTTTCGAGTATCAATTGTTTGCAAATAAAATATCCCCATTGGTGATATTGAATGATGCGGTTACATAATCGCAAATTTGAATTTTTATTAGTTTCCATTGAGAATAAAAATAAAACTTAACTTAGATTCAATAAAGTTTAATAAAAAATTTCTGAGAGTATTTGGTCCCGTAATTAAACCCACTTTCTATGTTTAGGCACGTTAGCAGCAATCCAGCCCATCCATAAGTTTATTAATGTACATGGCACATATTTAGGCGTCCCATTGTACTAACAATTGTGTCTGAATCGAATTTTTTAAAATCGTTTTCAAGAAATAAACTCGATAACTGAAAATAAAATATATTACTTTTTAAGAATATAAGAGTTGATTACTGATAAAACCGATTGAGAGGAAGCATTTGCGTTGATTTTTTTCGTTATTATTCAGTAATTTACCTTTTCTATCTATACTACTTTCAGTATTACTAGTAGAAAGTATTGTTCGGGTTAATGTTTAATTATTATCACCATTACTGATTATCTTAAAAGCAGACTCATTCATGCGAACTCCGCCAGTAGAACCTTAGGGGCTACTGCCGGTCCCAAGCCCGAATAAAGGAGGAGGGTTGGCGACCCCATTCCGTCGAAATCTAACTTGCCAAAAAAACGCTAACCAGAAAAAATAATCCAAACCATTTTAACTCTGCCCTGGGAGTTGGAAGAAGAATTATGACGTCGCGTGATGAAAGCCGAGTTCCTTCGGAAGTCACGGGGCCGATGCCTCTTCTGACAACCAGAGCAACCATTTTTTTAGGTACATGGAACGTTCGTAGATTGTGCGCGACTGGAAGACTATTTCAAGTTGCGGCAGAAATGAAAAGGTACAACCTCGAGATGCTCGGCATCAGTGAAACGCATTGGACACAGGTAGGACAACTGAGACTAGATTCAGGGGAACTGCTGTTATACTCTGGTCATGAAGAGGAAAATGCTTCACATACACAAGGAGTTGCACTGATGCTGTCAAAACATGCGCAAAAGGCACTGATACGATGAGAATCTCATGGACCCAGGATAATCAAAGCATCCTTCAAAACAAAGAAAGAGGACATTACAATGAACGTCATCCAATACTATGCACCTACCAATGACTACAATGACGACGACAAAGATCAATTCTACGAAAGGCTGCGGTCAATCGTCGAGAAATGTTCACCGAAGGATTTGACGATTCTTATGGGAGACCTGAATGCCAAGGTTGGAATGGACAACACTGGATATGAAGACATCATGGGACGACATGGACTGGGAGAAATGAACGAAAACGGTGAGAGATTTGCAAACCTATGTGCCTTCAACAAACTGGTCATCGGTGGCACAATATTCCCGCACAAACGCATACACAAAGCCACATGGATTTCACCGGACCACAATACTCAAAACCAGATTGATCATATTGATCGTGAACAGTGGTAGGTAGCGATACCAAGAGAGATAGAAAAGGCACCGGCGATAGGCAACATTAGACTACTATTCAGATTCATTAAGGAACCTGGTATTAGAAATCCGACTATAAATGAGACTATCTTGAAAAAGGTTGGGACTTTTATTCATTCTCAATCCAGTAGATTGGATCGATGGGCAGAACACTTCAACTTTCAGTTTAGCTGGCCTTCGTCCGCTCCTCAGTTTCCCGCAATATCCAGTCATCCTGAATGGCGAATCGACATAAGTCCTCCGGCTCTTTATGAATTTGAAAAAGCTTTAGGAAATCTGAAGTGAGGGAGAGCAGCGGGTCCTGATAGATTGACCCCAGCGATTTTTAAGGATAGTGGTTCAGTTGTAGCAGTTAGATTGACTGAGATCGTAGGTAGAATCTGGGAACTGGGCATAATCCCATCCGACTGGTCTCAATCACTGATTGTCCCAATGTATAAAAAAGGACACAAGTCTTCTTGTGACAATCACAGGGGAATAAGTCTCACTAGTACAGTATCTAAAATATTGGCCTCAATAATAATTCGACGCTTAACGAAAGCTCGGGAAGAGCAGACTAGAGAAAACCAGGCTGGTTTCAGACCTGGACGTGGTTATATAGACCACATTTTCAGACAGAGAGTTGCAACGTAGAACTACGTACGTATGTACATAAGTTCATGTTACCATACCACATTAGCACAAGGACGCAGATAACAAATCAAATCCCATAGTGATAAAGATAGTAGAGGTATTAATGGTAGTGAAGAAGACTAGGGTTCGAAGATATTATTCAAGAAGTAAAATTAAGTGAAATAAGGTTAGAAAGACAAAGGTAGAGGTGCTGACGAATCCAGAAGATTAGGATTTGAGAGAGCTCAAAGAGTGGATGCACCTGCGCCATTGCAAACGATTTTGAGCCATGTCGTTCAAGGTCTCTAACCATTGGTGACTTTCGTCTCGCGGACCCCAACAGGGTAGTCTACATCTACCAACATGACTCAGTCCACTAGTCAGTGACTCCATGGATTCTGCCATGTTTTGGTCTGGCCACCCCTAACTTTCTTCCAACCTACTCCTACACCACAAAACATAGCTGTTTGAGGCAGTCCGTGGTTAGGCATACGTAACACCTGTCCCAACCACCTCAACTGATGAAGTTTCACCACTTCATCTATTGATCTGCCATCCTTACCTAGTACTCGTTTCCTAACGACAGCATTGCTTACTCGGCTGTCCCACGATATACGAGCAATGCTTCTTAAACATCTATGATCGAATACTAGTAACCTACGAACATCTACTCTTAACGGCCATGTTTCACATCCATATAGGAGAACAGAGCGAACTGCTGCGCAGTACACCCGTCCTTTGGTTAGCGAACGGATATCACGCCTACGCCATAAGTGACGCAGGTTGGCAAAAGCCAATCGAGCTTTCTGTATCCGAGCTGAGATTTCGTCAGTCACCAGGCCGTCAGCACTGATGAGACTCCCCAGATCAGTGAAGCGATCAACACGTTCGACTACTTCAGTCCCTATCACTAGTTCAGGTGCCAATGCAACCCAGTCGTGAAGCAACACTTTTCATTTCGAGGGTGAGAACCGCATCCCGAACATACTCGGATTGTTGCTTATGGTAGTCAGAAGACTCTGCATTTTGTCAGCGTCTTCACCGAATAGAACTATGTCATCGACATGTCTACGACAAAGTTAAACAAGAATGGAGAGAGTGGACAGCCCTGACGGACACCACTTGATGTAGGGAATTCAGATGACAGTTCGCCATATGCTCTCACCCGACCAGTGGTGTTCGAGTAGAGTGCTTGTATAAGGTTAGTGTACTTGTCTGGTACACCTTTCAATGACAGACACTCCCACAGAACCTCACGATCCACTGAGTCGAGTGCCGCTTTTAGGTCCAG